TTGCCGGATCAGCAAGTATTAATACATATAATGGTAGGGGAGCCCAAGAGGGGATAATAAGCCCTGCGTACATACCGGTACATTCGATATATTCTAAACAAACACACACTTAAAAATTATAAAAATTGAGGATGTAACTAATAATGAATATAATAGACAAAAAGGGCCGTGTTTAAATATTTTAGATCGTCCTCATCGAAATAAGTAATAATAAAAATTATACTATAATGAAATTTCATATTGTTATTTTGTCTAGTGGCTTTAGTTTGCGACTTGCAAAGCTCTGAAAACAGGTTCAATCCCGGCTATGCACAAGTGAACCTTCTGTGCTCATTTAACACTCTCGGTGAAGGAAAGCATCGTGAGATCCGGGAGTACCTTAGACCCAAAAAGTAGACCGTGTGTCTGACTGATCACCTACTTTCCTATTCGAAAAAATAAATAATCACGAAATAGTTGCAAAAATCCGAGGCCCAGAGTAGGTAGCGCCACAGGTTTTTAAAGCCTTGATGTCAGATCTCGTGCCTAAAGACACATGAAACTAGATTTGGAATTATAATATATTTATTAACTATATCGCCTTCGACAGTTTCAGAGAAATCGATTTCCTTACCATACACGACACATATTTCTGCGTCTGTTTCGCTAATCATTTTTGTTACTCGTACCTACAGAAAATCTAGACCATTGTCTCCAAACACACAAAGGCAACAGCAAAAAGAGTGGCACAAAAAAGGTTAGCGTACCTAAAATTCTTCTGTCTCCCCTACATAATTTATATATTAGAAATTTGAATTGTTCGCCTAAGAAATTTAAATGATGGTTTTCAGAAAAAACTGAAATTCAAATTACATATAATTTTAATAAGGATTTTTCTATATAAATTTAGTGAGATCCTTGCGCTTGATTTGACTTGACTTGATTTTATACAAGGTTCCAATTTGGTTAGCTTCAGTCTCAAGTCTCCACGTTGTGTTATATCCACATGATTTCGATTGCGCCCTTAACAAACAAATTGCCCCCCTTGTGGGGGGCGTGAACCCCCGTTGGGAAACAGACCTAGACCCTCCGTTTTATACGCCATGAGAGTTAACTCGTTTTTATATTTTCAAAAGTTCTGTTTTAATGCGTATTGCAAAATGGAATATAAAATATTTTTATGGTTTTGAAATAAAAATCTATGATCTATGTTAATCAGATGTTGAATTTTGAAAGCCACTTTGTATGTTGCAACACTTATCCTGTTTTACTTAACACAAAAAAGATTCGAATGCAAAAATGACCTTCAATTATTTAATTTCTTTTGTGACATGTCATGTCAAATTTGTGTAACCTACAGAATGTGGTTCGGATCCCAACTAATTCATTATAAGTTCTAATTAGAGAGACTTTGAAATAATAAAATAAATAATAATATTAGGTCCTTACATATGAAATTATTTCGTACTGGCCACTTTAATCACGATGTTCTCCTCTTTGGTAAGGAATTCGAAATTCAAATTTGTACAGCTATTTACTCATGTATTTGTGCTTCGATGACCGTCATTCATTTGTTTTTTTCTGTTTGCGTCACTCATTTTACAAAATGGAAAACTTAAAGTATCGCATTATTTACGAGTACGAGTTCCGCCGTCGCACTAGTGCTGCGGAAACGACTCGAAGGGTGAATGACGTGTATGGCGGTCATGTTGCAAAAGAACACAGTTCGTTTTTGGTTCCAACGTTTTCGTTCTGGAAATTTCGACCTGCAGAACAAGCCCCGTGGACGGCCTGAGACCCAAGTTGATAATGAAGTATTGAAGGCTATTGTGGAAGCGGATCCATCGCAAACCACGTCCGAGTTAGCTGCAGGCTGCGGTTAGTGATAAAACTGTTTTAATTCACTTGAAGCAAATTGGGAAGATTAAAAAGCTTGGGTACCTCACGAATTGACTGAAGCAAACCGGCAAACGCGCGTCGACTGCTGCGTTACATTACTGAACCGGCACAATAATGAAGGTATTTTAAACCGAATCATTACCTGTGATGAAAAATGGATTCTTTACGATAATCGGAAGCGCTCAGCGCAATGGTTGGATCCTGGCCATCCAGCCAAATCCTGCCCCAAGCGAAAATTAACACCAAAAAAGTTACTTGTAAGCGTTTGGTGGACTAGTGCCGGTATTGTTCATTGCAGTTTTCTCAAATCTGGCCAGACTATTACGGCTATTGTCAGCAATTGCAAACCATGATGGAAAAGCTAGCGGCTAAACAACCTAGGCTGGTCAATCGCTCCACGCCACTGCTACTTCACGACAACGCTAGACCACACACTGTACAACAGACGGCTACCAAATTAGAAGAGCTTCAATTGGAATGTCTAAGACATCCTCCGTACTCCCCGGACCTTGCTCCAACAGATTACCATATTTTTCGAAACTACCTATGAGATGGCAAAAGTGCATAGAAAACAATGGTTCATACTTTGATTAATTAAATATATTATATTTAAAAATATTCGACTTTTTGTAGTAATGACTTACTTGACTTGATGACGCGTGACCCCAAGATGGCATAGAGGGCGTCCAGAGCCTCCATCGCGTTTGTTCATGAGCTAAGAATTTTACCTTACTCCAATTCCTTCTGGCGCTCTTTTCCTCATCACAAGATACAGGCGGGCAGACAGTGATACTGAATAAGAATGTTATTTTCTTTAATATTTTGGAAATAATCTTTGGAAATAACCTATATGACATACATATAACGGAGAACGAATTCATTTTATTTTTAAAACTTTCTTTACCGATTAAACCGTTACAAATAAAAAATACGCGTCAAATTGATATCATCCTTGAGTTTTTCTGAAGCCGGTTAAAAAATTAAATTCTTCCTCTTTATTATAACGCACCGTTCTTAAGATATCCTATATGAAACCTTTTTTGCTACTTCAATTCAAAATTTTACAATGAAAAAAGCTTTTAACTGTTAGACAACTTTAACTATTAGCAATATGCAGACTTCTTTAGAACACCGACCACACCACATCATACACAACGCAAATCTACATATAAGCTACCCAAAAAACGCAACTTTCGTCGGTTTTATATTTAACCACTTTTTAAAAACCATATTTTTACTAACGATTCAAAACTATATACATTTACTAACAATCTTAAACAACATCTTCTCAACCAGTCCTATGCTGAAACAAAAAGCATTTGTGCCACAATAGTTGAATTATAAAATGTAAGTGTTACGTAGAAATTATTGTCAAGTACCGGTAACATGTCTGCCCACACATAGGGCTGGCTGCCCACGATTAGTGCACTTTCTTTTTACATAAATATCCTCTTTACTGTGTATAATAAAGTTTATTTTATTTTATTATCTATCTGTATTAGTATATATCAAAGACAAACCGTCAGATTCTAAAGTGAAATGATTTAAGGTATTACAATATATCACCAGTTCACAATATCTCGTTATTACAGTATTTAAATTTTACGGCGATATAAAAATTATAGCCGAACTAAATCATAATTCAAAGTTGAGGGCTTACCACCTACGGGCAATGAAATGAGCATAATATTGCATTATTAAGATTAAAATGTAGATAATGCAATTTTGCTTAGCTTCCGTTTTAATTCCTTTAAATTATTAAGTAGCCTTGCGGGGTCACCCATGCTGTACCAAATAGATGAAAAATACATACATACATACAGAACACTTTAGTCATCTCGGAGTATGTTTTGACGACCTACCACAGACATTAAATTTTTTTATAAAAATCGGGTCATTCCTAAGAAGTGCTATGGACAACCATCGACCGAGAGAAATCATATTCTTTAAGTGAGTCATGGGGAAACACGTTTCTGCATTTATTTAATTTTGTACGTTTGTTGTAAAGCCTGTCAAACTGAAAGTATTAATTTTATCAAGAAACCAACAGTAGTTAAGAACTAAACCACAGAGGCGGCTTTTAGAGTAGGCTTTAACAATTAATAAACCTTTTTAGGCCTGGGCCTCAGATTTCTGTATCAGTTCATCTGTTTCATGATCATTTGTAAAATTTAGTCAAAATGTGTACATAATCTCGTTTGATGATAAAAACTATATGAAGATAAATAAAGAAAGAAAATCACACGGTTTATAACAATTGCCTCTAAAGTTAACACTACTTAGGATATAAGAATTTTGCAAAGAAATTACGTTAAAAATAATATAATACTGTGTGAGGCCAAATGAGGTTAGCGCACTTGCTAAGCCAGAAACGCCGTAATTTATAAAAGGTGAAAAAAATTGAACAAAAAAATTTAAAGGAAAAATGGGAATTTTTATTGATATAAAAATTTTATAGTAAATAAATAAAAAATGTATTAGTAAGTAGACAACAGTACTTAAATTACAAATCTTTAAACATAACATTTATTACTAACGAAGCAAACACAGAAACACACAAATTATAATAATAATAATCAAAAAAGAAAAATAACAAAAAAAATATGGAAAGAAAATAAAGAAATAAGACCGTACATTTTAAGTGTGTAATGTGTGCTTGCTGTGGTTCTGGCTCTGGCTCATCATTATGCTGTGGAGCTGACGTGTTCCACAGCGCTGGTCATTCTGCCAGAGACCACAACACACAATTTTACGTTAACTATGTAGTTAATGATTTTGTGTTCGTCGTTTACAATGGTTCAAATCGTAACAGATGTAATATTAGAAATTGTTGCTATCTCCTACAAGTTGCGTCTCAAAAATACCGGCTATTTAGGCCTGGGGCTATGCTTTGTGTATGTTATTCGTGATCATTTTCTATTGTAACTAAAAGAAAATGGAGCTATCCTTTGAAAATAATATTTATAAAGGTATTTTGCGTAATGTCGACAAACAAGTGAAGGAAAATAATATTGCCAAGTCATGGCGCGTAGCATGACGAAGCGTTTTAATATCTTATCAAACGGGTACAGTCGGTATGTTTTCCACTTTGAGTACATACATTGCAGTGGGATATATCTAGGATGTCGTTTTTGGGAAAGAAATTTAGGCGATCACATTGTGAAAATATAAACGAGTTGGTGAAAGCTGCCAGTGAGTATTATATTTAATAATGCTAAATAAAAATGCAAATATTTTGCTCATGTATTTAAAACTAAAGATATTATTATTTTGATTATTTACATCTATTATAGGTTTTTTGATGGATAAAGTCTCAATATCCTTAATTTTTCCTAATTTAAAAGATTTCTCTAATATACGGGTTATAAGTGTTGATGATGGTAATGTTATGTATTTTTAAATTCGGCAATCATATTGTTTATATAATGATAATATTAAATTGGGCTCAAGAGTCAATGACATTATGTACTTTGTACATAATTATGCATCCAAACAATTGAATTCAAATCATAAAAATCAGTAGTGTTTTGTTAAATGTGTGAAGAGTTGGTTTCTTGTTTCATTTTAGGCAAAAAGAAAAAACAAGTCGTATGTAATGTCGTATGAAATTAATTACTGTTCTTTTGGCAAGTTTTAATAATAAGTTTGTGCTATTCTGTTTTACAATCCAAACAGTGCGTCATTTATGTTTTGCCGTTCACATATGTAGGCCTCTTGCTCGTTCTCATAATATTTATTTATCGTTTATAATTGACAAAAATCCCATATTAAATAAAATACAGCGGCATTTCAGACACACATGACGTCATACAAGCGTTCAAGACTTTTGCGCCGACAATCTGCTTCACCAGGGTAGATAAGAATACCTTTCATATGGACCTACAAGTGGCCAGCAAGCACGTGGGTCACACCTTCAAGCTTGGTGAGGAACAGGAGATGGAGAGAAAAGACGGATCTATGGTGAATAGAATATGTTTACTAATGTCTTGTTATTTATTTATAGCCAGGTTAAATTTTATTTTTTTTTAATACCAGAAAACCTTTTGCTAAACCTTCTCTATATTCGTTAAGACAAGACAACTATATCTACGATGCCTTAGTACTATCAAAAATAATGACAATGATTTTGAATGACCTTGGTTCCGATAAAACTGTTACATCAGAGAGATCTATTGATATATTTGGTAGGTCCCACATTATCGCTATATATACCTATGTATTTTATCATACAAAACTATTTATTCAGATAAAAAATTATTAAACTTGACACTGCAGTACTGGAAGACCGCTTCAATACATCCGATCCCTAAATAGGTCGATCCCTCTGATCCGTCCAACTTTTGCCGAAAAGCTATAACCTCCTCGTTATCCAAAATAACGGACACCATTATTAACGCCCAGCTCCTGAGGTAACCAGCTGATTAGCGATTATCAGTACATGGTCGCTCTGCTGGAGACCTTCTTGTATACCTTACACATAGATCGGCAGAGGCAATTGAGTCCAAGGGCGCCAATAGCTAGCAGTTAGTTGGGCAAAACGCTTTGTTGGTATTGAAAAATCAAATATTGTTCAGTTTCGCGGTCATTTGGAAGGAAAGGTTAAATTAGCCTCCAAGAAGCTTTGTGTGTAACCTCCATGGCAAGACGGTACTCCGTTAATGGCTCGGCGTGAAGTATCACGCTGAGCCATTGCTTGCAACTGTTTAAAGCGCCAGTTGGGCCTCACATAGAGTACTGTTTTCACCTCTGAGCGGGAACGCCCCAGTATTTGGGAGGTCTCATCCACTTATTTAACAATGAGCGGTTCGAATCCTCGACTAATCCCTTTCTGAGCAGCTTGATCCCTTGACGTTACGTAGAGATGTGGGATCTCTCTGCATCTTCTACCGTATTAACCATGGAGAGTGTTCAGAGGAGTTGTTCGGATTAATACCTGCCTGCCTTTAAGGTAGTTTTGGCCGCGCACCACCACTATGTGGAACGAGCTCCCCACTGTAGTATTGTCGAACCATTTTGACTTCATTCTTCAAGAAAAGAGCGTACCAATTCTTAAACGACCCACGACGCACTTGTGAGCCCTCTGACATTGACAGTGTCCATGGGCGACGGTATCAATTGACATCAGGAGAACCTCCTGCCAGTTTCTATAAAAATAATAGTAGAGCACTTTACATGTACCAATATATTAGTCTACTCTACTTCTTCAATTGTTTGGTCTGTATTTGTATATTTTATTACCAGTGGCGTGTAAGGTTACATAGATTTACATACTTTTGCCAAACATATGGAATGACTATTGTGACATCTAAAAACTTGAATTCACTTAATAATAAGCCCCGATACTCTTTAATTTTTAATAGCCATCTCAAGTTCAAGGTTGAGTTTTTGTTTCACGGTCACACGGTTGCGACCTCAGGATATTGAGAGAATTACATCGAAATCTTTATTTTCGTTAAACAATACCAGCGACTATACTGGGATGCGGTTTTTTTGCATTATACCCTTGGGGATCGGAATCTGGAGCATCCGAAGAAGGGGTCCAGAATTTTTAAAAGGCCGGCAACGCTCTGGCATTGATAGAAGTCCACTTAACATAAAGTGAGCCTCCTCCCCGTTTGCCCCCTGCTCTTTAAAAATTGTGCGTAAAGGTTGAACAATTGTTTGAATTAAAAGAATTTCATATGGAAACTAAACGTTTGTTTGACTGGATAAAGGTGGCAAGTATTTGTTGCATATTGTTTTGTATTTTACGTCATTATTTAATCATTATTAACTATTCCATGATAAGGTTCTGAATGTCATCATGATTGTCATAAATAAAATAAAACGAAGCCTTTGTTCTCTGACCGTTGGTTGCAAACAAATTATTTAGTAACACATTAGTAAGAAAAAACAATAGAAATCTTTTTTTGCAATTGGTTTTATTGTTAAGTGATGATCCAACAAAAGCCTACCCTATTTGAGCCCATTCTGCTCTGTCCTGGGCTAGTCTGCTCCATCTCTTCAGCAGACCATCTGCCGATCTTTTTACTTGACGTCCGTTTGTCCTGGGATTCTAAAACATGTATTGCCTTCCTTTTTTGACGTTCATGTTTATACGCTTATATATAAAGCAATGATATTAAAACCGCAAGAGCAGTGTTGGCCTAGTGGCTTCAGCGTGCGACTCTTATACCTGAGGTCAAAGGTTCGATCCCCGGCTGTGCACTAATGGACTTTCTTTCTATGTGCGCATTTAACATTTGCTCGAACGGGGAAGGAAAACATCGTGAGGAAACCGACATGTCTTAGACCCAAAAAGTCGACGGCGTGTATCAGGCACTGGAGGCTTATCACCTACTTGCCTATTAGATTCAAAAATAATCACGAAACAGATACAGATATCTGAGGCCAAGACCTAAAGAGGTTGTAGCGCCACTGATTTATTTTTTATTTATTATTAAACCCGCATATTCAGAGCTGTTAGCTTCCTGTAGCTGATTTTTTTTCCAGTCTTAGTTAAAATTGCAACATTAATATTAGGAATAAATATTTAAGTGAACTATTGGAGAGCATTTGGAGCACGGCAGTTATTGAGCTTAAACATACATTGACTAGCACAAGTTAAAGAACTTGACTTTCTCGTTACATAATCTAATTAATTGATTAAATAATTTGTGCTTACTCAATAGTCATACATTCGTTCGCCCTTTTGTTTTTAGATGACGTAGGTTTTGATTAATTAAGATAAGGTGAGGCGTTAATTTTACATGTAAAAGTTTTATTCACATTATGTATTGTAAATAAATATTGTATGTTTTGGCTCTAGAAAAGATTGAGAGTCCACATTCTAATTCGTATCTCAAGATAAATCGCGTCTTGAGCTGTGATATATGTCAAACTTCATCCGGAATAAATCTTCAGCTTCTCTATCGAATTAAGTTTGATTGGCGTTCTAGAATACTGGCCTTGATACAGCACGAACCATAGATTGACTTATATACGTACGGGACACACTTAGCTGAATTCCCCCATCAAAGTGGTAGGACTTTGACATACTTACCTTACCCTATGAACGGAGACCTTAAAGGTCGTATTTGGAGCTTATATGAAATAGGCTCGTTCGTTCGTGGATTACACAAATAATTGTATGAACCAGCTGCGGCGGTATCACTTAACATCAGATGGCTCATCTGATGTTAAGTGCGCGTTTAGTCGATACAGTCAAGCTGACAAATACAGAATTATCGTGTTTATATACGAATATATACATGATATGAGAATATATAGGGAAAGTTAAAATGATAGCATGTTTCATAAATATCTACAATGAAGTATTGAATATATTTTTTTATAGAATTTTCCATATTCGAAAATTGAAATCGATGACAGCGCTAAGTAAGTAAGCTAAGTATTTTGTACCGTATAAAAACCTTGTATAAATAACTGGGGTTGCCATAACGAAATTAATTAAGACGTTGTACACTATGCGACAGTAAAATTAAACAGATGTTTCGACAACTTATAGCAGGATTAATAATTACATTGTAAGTATAAGATTTTTTATTGACGTGACAACGTCTTATAATTCGATGGAGCCGGCTGCACGCACGAAAAAACATGACGCATGCGGCGTAACCTGGCTCTGAGGCGTTTCATTTAAGGCTTGAAGTGCAAGCGAGAGCGCGGAACGAGCGACAAAGAGGCACAATCGGCCTCCGCGTTCGACATCTTTATCTATACTAATATTATAAAGAGGAAAGATTTGATTTTTTGTTTGTTTGAAATGAATAGACTCAGAAACTACTGGACCTAAAATTATTTCACCGTTGGCAAGCTACACTATTCCCGAGTGACATAGGCTATGTTTCATTTTCAAAAAAATTAGGGATGCTTGCTAAAATTTCTTCAATCGCGTGCGCTGCGAAAACTAATAATGATAGGACAAAATGATTTATGTCAATTTCAATAAATTTCAATAAATTATTTCGGCGATATTGCTTCTAACTGCTCCAGATATTTCATATCGCTCAATGACGCAGATACGAATTGACGAATATCCAATGGACTTGGAAATTCCTAGCAATTTTTGTATATATCTCATTCGCACTTGTTTGTTTTGCGGCTTGCCGTCTTGCTTCCGCGGGGAGAGCGAGAGGTCTAAATAATAATCATTTCTAATTACTTATTCAAAAGTAATTCAATGTATGTATGTTCGTGACATTCTAGTAAAGTTTTTGAATAATATATTATCTAATTCTTGAAAAAAAAAACAATTAAATTAAAAAAATAATAAATTAAAACTTTAATTATTATTAATTTAATTAATTAATTATTTTTTTCTTTAATTGTTTAATTTTATTTTCACAATGAAAATTGCAGCCTCTTTGCCAAAAACGATCGCACCCAGATTTGACGCACCAGACGCCCATTCCTTTTCTTTTTTTTTTGTTTTTGATTAATAATAAAAAAAGCGGTAAAGCCACCGCAGCAACAACAATGTCGTCCATAGCGAGCGAATACTGAAATGCTCGTGTAGGACAGTATTGCCTAGTTGATGAAGTTGCGCCATATCGCTCTATATTGTATTGCGCAGTATTGATGCTTGTTGCCGTTGCCGTAAACTGCTAGATGTAGTCGTGACGTCATAGTTGACGAGTATTTACTGGAATTGAGCAATTTTAGTTGCCCGTGTAAGCGCACCATAAGCGCACCTTAACTTCTAATAACTACCGAGCTAACATAATAAACCGTTTTTATTGGTCAAAAGTATTTCATAATATCGCTTTACAATTTTGCCGCCAAGTGTACCTGCACACTGACAGTCATTGCAATTTAAACGTTATATTCACCAATTAATTTTGAATTTTCTCGTAAAGAATACCTGTGTACTTATTTCACAATATTATGTAACAAGTCTTATAAAGATGTCTTTTTAAATCTTATTTACCTCTTAACAATACTTAAAACGTTATAAAATA